GGGTGTATACGCAGCTGCTGCTGCTGCTGCTGCTGCTGCTGCTGCTGCTGCTGCTGCTGCTGAGACTGATACTGCTGCTGCTGCTGCTGCTGTTTGTGCTGCTACGCGTGCTGATGCTCCTGGTGCTGCTATTTCTGCTCCTGCTGCTGCAACTGCTGCTGCTCCTGTTGCTGCTGCTGCTAATGCTATTGCTGCTGCTGCTGCTGCTGCTAATATTACTGTTGCTGCTGCTACTGCTAATGCTACTCTTGCTGCTGCTGCTGCTGCTGCTGCTGCTGCTGCTGCTGTTCCTATTGCTGCTACTGCTAATGCTCCTCTTGCTGCTGCTGCTGCTGCAACTGCTTGCTGTTGCTTCTGCTCCTGCTCCTGCTGCTGCTGCTTCTGCCCCTGCTGCTGCTGCTGCTGCTGCTATTCCTATTGCTGCTACTGCTAATGCTACTCTTGCTGCTGCTGCTGCTGCTGCTGCTGCTGCTGCTGCTGCTGCTCAGAGCGAAGACTGCAGGAGAATTTGCTGGATTCTTTGCCTACTCTGAAGGCGCTACAAAAAGTGCAGGAGGGCGAGGGCACCGCCCACCTCATACTCACCGGGGGAAACATAGACACCTAAACTTTAGCTGCCTATACACCCCAGATATACTATACTTAGCTGCCTATACACCCCAGATATACTTAAGTTTTGCTGCCTATACACCCCAGATATACTATACTTAGCTGCCTATACACCCCAGATATACTTAAGGTTTGCTGCCTATACACCCCAGATATACTTAAGTTTTGCTGCCTATACACCCCAGATATACGCAGCTCCCTATACACCCCAGCTAAACTAAACTTTACCTCCCTATACACCCCAGATATACTTAGCTCCCTATACACCGCAGATATACTTAGCTGCCTATACACCCCAGCTATACTTTTGTTGCATATACACCCCAGCTAAACTAAACTTTACCTCCCTATACACCGCAGATAAACTAAACTTAAGCTGCCTATACACCCCAGCTAAGCTTTTGTTGCCTATACACCCCAGCTAAACAGCAGTTATACTTGCTAGATGGACATACACCCCAATTAAAAAGTAATTATATTAGCTGCCTATACACCCCAACTAATACCAGTAGCTGCATATA